GCTTGCACCCGTGACAGCACTGTTTGCTCTGAATGAGCCCCTGCGGGGTGTGCGGAGCAAGATGGAGACAGACACGCTGAGCCTCGCGGGAGAGGGCCTCGAGGATGACGTGCAACTGGAGGGGAATGAGGGGGAGGACGGGCTCGAGCGCCACGTCGAGGTGGTCCTTCATGAGGGCTACGTCTGTGGGGAAGGGAGGAGGCGAACAGGAGCCGAGAGGGCATTAAGGGGAGGAAACGGATCCCCACCTTTCAAAGCACCCCTCAGCTTTCTCGCCGCGCGCCCGCTACGACCCACCTACCGATGCTTTTGATCGCCTTCTTGGCCGTTTGCTGCAAGTCTCGCTGATCATGCAGCAGCCTTCCCGCTTCCTCCGCCCGAGCACCCTCGCTCTTGCCGCCCCTGGCCGCGGCCCTGTAAGGTCAGTCGAGGAGCAGAGACGCGTGTATATGGTGAGCTTCTCGAATGATGGCGAGTGCGCGCCCGTTGCTCGTGGAGGGACCCTCGTGAAACACATCTGCGACGCGCCCGGTTCCCCTCCGTGCGACAGACGGGGTCCCGAGGCCGGCTCCAGCTCGCCTTTGCGCCCAAGGACTGCCCTGCATATAATCTCGAAGGCATCCGAACGGCCTGTTCCCCCTCTCTTCGCCTCCCGGTGCTTACATGTCTTCGGTGCCCGCCCGCGCCCCGGGGCCGCCAGCCTGCCCGCCTGCCGCCTCGCCCCCCTTGTCCTCAGACGGTCCGCCCCTCCCAAACCACTCTCCCTGAGTCTGCCTGGCGGCGGCAACAAGGAGCGCTTTCTCCTCGGCAGCGCGGCGGGCATGCTCGGCGGTCTCTTGCTGCGTCTGCTCCTGATAGGAGTAGTGGAGCTCCAAGGACTCCGGGTGGGCGGCCGCCATGTCCTTGAGCTGCTCCGTGACGGAGTGCGTGAGGGCAGTCACCTCCACGTGAGACAGGCCCAGCTCGTGGCCTACTGTGGCGGCAAATCTTTAGGGGGGGGATGGATGGATGGGAGATGTTCCACATTGAAGGCCGCAAGGAGTCTTGATCCGGAATCAAAACCGAATCGGGCTCACCACCATAAAAGCCCTTCCTGACGCTCTCTATACACAACGACAACCCCGTCACTCCCCGATGTATTCCCTACGACTCACGCATCTGGTTCTGGCAAATGCTTGCTCGTGATATCCCACGCGATATCATCCTGGAAAAAATCCTCGCCACCCTCTTTGAGCTTCACTTTCACGTGCACGCGCACCTCCGGTAATTTTTTTCGCAGAGAGCATACCCGCGCGGGACAGGCTTCCTCTTGGGTCTCCGTCAAAGTGGTGGGGGAGGGCAAACTCAGGTCATGGAATGGGCCTGTCCGTGCGTGAGCCGGGGGCGCGGGGAGGGGGCCAGGGCGTAGGGTGAAATGGAAACTAACTGCGAGCGGGCATTAATTGTGAAGGAAGCACACGTACCGATAGCTGCCCATCCCCAGCCTTTGGGCCGCAATTGCACCATGAGACCTTTCAGAGTGACGCTATAACAAACCGAAAGGCTCCCTTGATGTCCGTGAAAGAAGAACGCATGAGCAGAGACAGAGAGTGACGTCTGGGCAAGTAATCGCCCGGGAAAGCTTGCCCAGCCTCCTCGAGGCTAGATTGCGGATGGGAGATACGCCAAAGCAATAGCAGAGAGATAGATGCGCAGGCATGAACGCATGCTGGTGGTGACAGAGACACATCATCTTCCTCAGCGCCTCTCCGGCGGGTCGTGGGCGAGGCGGCGAGCAGGACTTGAGGCACCTTGCATGCTTTTTTAGGTTACCATTGCACTGCACTCCGTCCGTCGAAGCTCATCACCTATGCACAATAGTTCTTTTGTACCCAAGTTGTTTGCACATGCATGAGACAACGCGTGAGTATGTTCGGCTTGACACGTCAACTATATGGCTGCTTCCCTCGGACCTTCACACTATCATGCTTCACCGAACTCAACTCAACTTGCTTGAAATACACTGAGATCCGAATTGCTGTCAACAACATGTTATGGTTGAAAGATGCGTATGATATATAGCTGCCTCTTTGACTGATCGAAGCCTTACGTAAGAATGTTGTCAGCCCTCCCTCAACAGAACTTGAATATTCCTACACTTTCTCAGTACTTCAGAAAAAGGGGACGGCGAATGCTTTTGCAGGGCTTGCGGCAATATTGTTCTCGCGGTAGTCACGCTTGTGGAAAGCGACGACGCCCTTGTGTTGTCAATCGCGCGCAATGCTCTAGCGCTCCTCGAGACGAGCTAGTCCATCTCCTCGGCCCGGCGTCAGGACTTTCCTCTTGCCAGTGGAGCAATGATGAGCCCCGCGAGGCAATGCTTCCACAGCCCCAGTACGAAGGCGACTGGGAGATCCAGGCGGAGGAGGAGGATCAGCAGGAAAGAATCGGGGCCAAGGATCGGGAAGGGGAGGATGAAGGTGAGGAGGGAGGTGTCTTCGGAGGGGGGCAGACTCCGCACCGTCCAGGAGCCTTTGCTACCGACCACGCCACCCCAGCAGCCTCTCGTAGGAGCGGAGCTGACTCTTACAAGGAGAGCTATCAGGACGAATACTGGGAGCGGCCCGGCATTGTCCAGGCCACCTCCCGCTGCCCCGCCCTGGTGCTGAACCAGGACCTGACCCCCCTGACGCTCTTCCCCCTCACCATCGCCCCCTGGTGGTCGGCCGTGCGCAGCACTCTGCGAGGCCGGGTCTCGGTCCTGTCCAGCTATGACCGCGGGGTCCGGTCGACCCACGCCTTGCACCAACTGCCCTCTGTGGTGGCCTTGACGCGGCAGCAGACTCCCGGCCAGCGGCGACAGGCGGGGGCGCTGGAAGGGCGGGAGGGCGAGGCAGGGTGCAAGGCCGGGGGGGGGCGAGGTGAAGGGGACGGCGAGCGGAGATTTTGGCCCGCCGCCAGGACCCCGCGGCCCTTTCGCCGCAACGTGGCGCTGCGGGACGGCTACGTTTGCTGCTTCTGCGGGCGCCGCCTCAGCTACCGGACCCTGACGCTCGACCACGTGGTCCCCCGCTGCCTCGGGGGCGAGGACAGCTGGGAGAATCTGGCCTCCGCCTGCCGGCAGTGCAACAGCCGCAAGGGGTCTCTGCTCGTCTCAGAGCTCGGGAGGATCGACATGCGCCTGCTGCGGGTCCCCTACGCGCCAACGGCCCTCCAGGTAAGCGGGCTGGGCCACTGTGCGCCTAGGACTCTCCACCCATCCGTCCCACCCCCGTGTCCCCACAGCTGGCCTACGCCTACGTCGACCTCCTGCCCGCCGCTATCCTCAACCAGTGGGGCCGCTACCTGGAAGGGCCTTTGGCCCGCGAGGCGGCCAAAGTGAGCGCCCTCCATGCCACCTTCTCCCTTCCCACCCCCCACCCCACCCCTCCCTCTTTTTCCAAATCCGGGGCCCAGAGTGCGCCGGGAGGCTCCCACACCCCTTGCTCAGTGGCCGACGACGGCCCAAGGCCCCGCAATCTCGTGGACGTCTCTCCCCTGCCAAGGACAGAAGCGCGCAAGGAGCAATGCCAGCCCCGGATGAAGACGGAAGAGGGGGGCGAGGACGGTGGCTACGGGTTGTCTGCCCCCCGGGGGCCTCTGGCCTGGTCAACGCATTAACGCATTGAGAGGCAGATTCGGGAATGGGGAACGGAAGCGAATGGAAGGTGTGTACAGCGCTTATAAGTGTATGCATGCATGTAAGAACAGATGGCGTAGCGTATGGCTATGAGGGGAGGAGTACGAGTCGGAGGGAAAAGCACGAGGGTTTGACGTGTACTTGTATCCTTTTGGGGAGGGCATGAAGAAGGAAAAAGAGCAACTGCAGCTTCGACTTGTACGCGATGAACTAGTTCGCGAGCAATGAGAAACGCAGCATCTTATTTCTGGGGTTGTGCCCCTTCCCTCCTACCTGGCCCCGACCGCTCGGTGCACCGGGCATGCTCCTCCCTCATGACTTCCCCTTTCGGAGTTTCGGCACCCACGCCCATACCATTTCCGCTGTTATCGGACTCTTACCGCTGGAATCGGTCACCTCTACAGCTACCAGCACGTCACCTTTCTCCTCAGAATTGATCTTAGTCAGCTGCTCCTCTGTCAGATGGGCCACCGCCTTAATATCTCCCTCGCACCGCCTCACGAAATTTACTTTCATGCTTTTGCAGAGTGGTAGTGCTGAGTCTGGCACATTCATGCCAACCACAATGCCTGTAGCACTTTCAGCGGCTAGCGCCATACCGCAAGCGTGGATACCGCCGATGTGATTTTGCACTCGCCGACGATTCTTCAGGTGCACAACAGCTCGTTTATCAGACATCTCTTCAACCCAAAGTCGCGCCGTACCAGCCAACTTTACCTAATATTTAAGTCGATTCAATCATCGGTGAGATATCGTCATGTATGGCGTATTCATGACCACTCGAAGGGAAGAAACAAGGCAAACATCGTAAAGTCCAACCCAGCGGAGGTAACTGTACCATCATATCGAAGGCGAGAGTGTACCCCCAAGGTTTATAAGCCGCTGGTAGAGGCGAGGTGAGTTTGGCCACTTGTGTTGCGAGACGATTTAGCTTCCGGCAGGTCATTTTTGACAAGAAAAACAGAGCAAAATATTCACTTGAGTTCCTGACTCCTCGCGCGCCTACGTGCTTTAAGCAAGAGTTCTTCCGCTTCCAGCCAAGCGACAGCCCTCAATGGGGATGGAGAACAAAGCTACTTTTCCTGTTAGCAACGTTCCTTTAGTAAAAACAGAGAAGGTGAAAATAGACGAGACAGGATGAGTTGAAGAAGCCAAGATCAAAGTCCCGCCCCCTCCACGGCGTGCGTCGACTGCGCTTTCCTTCATCAGCGAGAGGTCGTAACCCGTCTACCTCGTAAACCCCCAACACTGACTCCCACTCTCGCAAAAAACAGATGACGGACTAGAAAAGGGACCACATATAACTAATGATGAATCGCACCCCGCTTTTTTGGCTGGTACTGCTCCACTCCATTCCAAATTGCCTTCATGCCTTCGCCTCCTTCACTACACGGCTCCCGATGTATCAACCCTCAGGATCGATCCTTCCGGTCATGACAACCGCCGAGACCACGAAACTAGTAAGGCCTGAAAAGCCCTCGCGTTTGCAAACACTCGATTACACAACATTAGCTCTGGTGGCCTGTGAGCTAAGAGAGCGGCTTTTGCCTGGACGAGTCGAGAATGTTATTCAGCAGGACGATTTCAGCCTGTTGCTTCAAATGCGCTGTGTCGATGATTTTACCTGGATGCTAATTTGCTGGCAACCAGAAGCCGCACGCGTTTGTTTGCAGAGGAATGGACCAAACGACAGTAATAGAAATAGCCGCGGGGACGGTCAAAGCAAACGAAGGGGAGGAGGCAATGGAGTGTCGTCCACATTGTACAGCCTACCGGGCCAATTGAAGGGTTTTCTTCAGCTGAAGACGCTAATAAACGTGACGCTTCCTATACCCGGGGAACGCATTATGGTGTTTGAGTTTGCGGACCGTCTGACTGTTTCGGTTCCTACACACAAGCTTGTTATAGAGGTCATGGGACGACGAAGCAACGTTATGCTTGTGGATGGAGACACCGACATTGTCCTCGCTTGTGGCTACCAAGTATCACCATTAAAATCTGTCCGTCCTGTTTCTATCGGCCAGCGATACACTTATCCCCCACCATTGACCGCTCCGCTGCCTCCGCCATTGCCCGAAGATCAGGCAGACATGGAGGCATACGAAAGCGAATTTATTCGGCGGATAACCCTTGTCCCATCCCATTCTTTGCCCAAGGCCCTTATTTCTGCTTATCGAGGATTCAGCCCACAGCTTGTTGATGTGATGGGGTCCACAGTAGGCATTCGAAACGCAAGCACAACGCCTGTGGGAAATCTATCCCGTGATGTGCTTGTACGCTTCTTCCGCGGCCCTGTTGTCATGTGGGTGCGACTCATTGTCATGCGAGACCCCAGGGTAGTAGCAACGTCCGAATGTGGGCTCAGTTTGGACGGAAAGCGCTATACACCACTATTATTCCATCCTGGAAACGGGTGGCAGCCTGTGCCATCCGTGCTAAAGCTAGTGGAGGTTTATTATACGGCTTTTCTAAAGCGACAGGAGCTGAGAGATCTGCAACGGAGGGGACTCAACAGAGTCCAAGCCGTGCAGCACCGTTTACAGCGAACGCGACAGGAATTTCAGCGACAGCTCGATGCTGCAGCGGAAGAAGAAGTCAGCAAATTGCAGACTAAAGCGGAGCTGCTGACGACTTACGCCTACAGCTGGAAACAAGGGGATACCGAGTGTGTATGCCCAGACCTGGACACGGGGGAAGAGATTTGCATCCCACTGAAACCGGGAAAATCTGCGGCAGATGAAGCACAGGCTACTTACGGTCGTATTCGTAAATTAAAGCGAAGTGTGGATGCCATAATGCCTTTACTGCAGAAAATCGACGTCAAGGTGGCGTATGTGGACGAGCTTGAGTCTAGCATCCAGCAACTTGGAACCTCGGCTCGCTCAGATGAAGACACACCTAATGTTCTAAACACTCGAACGCTTAGTCAAGATCTTGCAATCATGCGGGAAATAGCTGAAGAGCTGGGCATAAATTGTCTTGATGGTAGAGGTGGAAGCTCCACCACTTTTTTTTCAACAATACTGAATCGGCTTTCTGTTCCCGGAACCGAGCAGAGTAGCCTGAGCAATTATCAAAATAGCAAAAATAACAAGAGGAAAAAAAAGGACAAGCCTGTCAGGGATAAAAACAAAAAAATTCAAGGCAAAAGCACAGATGGTGCTAAGAAGTGTGCACAGAGTATGGCGATCCAATCATTTCGCCCTCCTTCTGTGCATAGTACTTCAAATGTTGTAGTGTACGTCGGTCGCAATAGTAAGCAGAACGATTACGTGACTTTTCAACTTGCACGAGATCATGAACTCTGGTTTCATGCTCAAGGAGTCCCTGGTGCCCACTGTTTAATGCGTATTGATCCAGGCGTCGAAATAAGTGACGCAGATATGCAATTTGCAGCTGATTTAGCAGCTTATTTTAGCAAAGCGCGTGGATCAGGCCAAGTGCCTGTTATATGGACATCACCAAAATACCTCAAACGTGTAGTTGGTGGTGGACCAGGCATGGTTCATGTAAGCAAGGAGAAGGTCTTGTGGGGGAGACCTTCGCGAGGCGAGAAAATTGTCCTTGAAAATGATGAGGACAATAATACTATGATATGAAGAAAGCACCATGTCAATTTAGAAATCATTTGCTGATAGTTTTGAACATTGTTATAACTTTGTTATTCTTTAGCGTCAATAGCTTTGAGATGCGAGACACTTCAAGCATTTTTCACACTCAATGAAGTCGAGCGGGTTTGAGGCTTTGGTAATCGCAGGTCCATATCTGTACAAGTGGGTAGAATTCTTGTAACAACACCTTCGCGGAGCGCGCGGGATCGCAAAGCAGTTTTCCAGTAGGACTCTCACATTCATTACGCAAGTTGACATTTGCAACTCCCTCTGTTCCGCGTCGTTCTTTCCCACCCCCAGGAAGAAGATGACGCATGACGATTGCGGGGACATGCGGTAAATGAGTAAAAGTGGGGGAACGAGTAAGCTGTAAAAGCACATCCTCCGCTCTATTGTATAGTCCGCACTTTTTGGCAAGATTTACGTCAGAGGTTACCACTAGATTATACATGCGATCCCAGTCAGAACCAAAAGGATCGGTTGAGTAATGGTTAAAAATATCTCGGTCATGTATAGTTTCATAGGAAGGATACAAAGGTATCGCATCCGCGCTGGTGAAAGAAACGTATCGAGAGTCGTACCGAGCTGTATCCGCCACTCGAATGTCATCGAATAATCCGTAAGGTGTTCTAGGTAATTTTCCTGTGATCCGGATAATGTAGTCTTTCTTCCCAATCTCCTTCGGCATGCACCAGAAAATATAGTTTTCATTTGCGTTTCGGACAGCCACCCCACGGCGAATGATTGGATTCTGTTCAGGATCGAATAATGAGAATTCAGTTGCGTTGCATTCTGTTCCAATCTGCAAATTCTTGGGCCACCATGTATTGAATGTCAAGTCCAAATTTTCAATAACTTCTTCGGTCCTTGCCTGAAATTCGTCGGAGCACCGACGAATAATATCCCATTCTCCATTTCTATGGTTTAATATTTCTACTAATGGCATGTCTACATAACCCCATTCTCGATTTTTTCCACTACGATCTTCTCCCGCCCGCGGATCTAAAAGTTGAAGTCGAAACGCTAGCAATGCATATGGCGACGTCGAGTCAGGTCGAAGCGCCGCCATCTCGTTGGGATATCCCTTACTGCCATCCTTAGAGATGTATATTTCGTAAGTTCCCATGTTGTCTTCTGTGACTTCAATGTCATTGAAGGGATTCTTGCCCGACGAGGGTCGAATATCCGTGTCATGAAGTGTACTTATCGATTGTAAGCTTGCATCGTACACAGTAAAACTGAAATATCGTACGTACGGAAACTTGCCACGAATGCGATAAACTTCTTCTTCTTTGTGGGGAGGCGGACTGGGCGATGATTTCAAGGCAGAGCCTCGAGCGTCCTTCGTAAATACGAATGTTGCCCAAGGCGCATGTGTGTTTGTTCCCGTTGCTGCTGAAGTTCTTGTTGCTGAGTGAAAGCGTTTGAGGAAAACACAAATCCTTGCATGTTGTACTGTATGTACATATCCGGAAGGAAAGGTTTTTCATCGTCGGGGGACAGGACCGGGGACCACGCACAGTTTGCCAGCCGATCAACTCGATGTAATAATTGCGAATTCGAATGTCGAGTAGAGTTCTGTCGTAAGGTAGAGGAAGAAAGCCCATCACTACCCTTGTGGTTTCCTTCGCCGGATGCAATCTCAAAGTCTGCAATCGCATCATGGGAGGCTGCATCTCCTTTTGCAAAACTAAGTGATGGGGCCCAAGTCCAATGAAATATAATTAAAGATTATGAAGTGAATAAGTAGAAAAAAAGTTCACATTTTACGCACAATCAACTGCTTAGATGTGTAGAGGACGGCCGTTAAGTAGATACGTTATTTCCCTTTCCAAAGTGCTTGTGAGTAAATTTCCCATGAAAAGATTTTCTTTTAGTAGAGACTCATACCTTATGAAAGCAGTAGAAAGTATAATAAGCTTAAGTCCGACTTGGAGTGAATGGTTGAGCATCTTGTAGAGACGATTGAGCTGCACTGAATTAATCGGTTATAGACTTGCCCTTGTTTCTGTTTGTGGAACACAAGGACCAAGTGAAACAAGAGAAAGTAAGCGCGAAAACGAGGAACCATGGAAACAAAAGAGACATTAAGACGATTCTTTCTGGTCCAGTGCACGATCAGTGTTGCACCGGAAGAAATCTTCATGATAAAATGCGGTGGACACGTCCCGGAGGGAGAGGAGGTTAGACTGCAGACGGAAGGGTTCGGAAAAGATCGAGGAAGGGCTCGCTTTGTTCGTACTCGAGGGACTACCGGGGACGCTGCAACATTGAGAGACAGGATGTTCCCAAATTACTGACCAAGTGACCTATTTTGGACACATCCACTTTTCTCGAACAGTAGTGCCCCCGCATCGGCGCTCTTAGGTACCGGCAGGCGCCTTCTTCAGGGCGTTGACGCAGATTTCCTCTCTAATGAACCTCTGCTTTTCGGTCCACGTACTTCTGGCACTCTTCCAGGCCTTGACTTTCGCGCATGCTTTTGTTGTGAGGCTCTCAAAATCCTCAGTCCTCGCCCCTCTGGCTTCCACATCATCTCCTCCGCCGCCTACTACAACCTCCCCCCTCTCCTCTGGCGCAAGTAAAAAAGCCAGTCTTTCCTCGAACGTCCCTTGGGACCTGAGCGTCGTTATTAAGAAAGAGGGCTACTCTGATATTCAGGCAGATTTTCGAATACGCTTCGTGACAGAACCTGGTTACGAGCCTCCTCAAGGCCGAATCTTTGTAGAGCGAGACCCGCTGGCACTTATCGATACGGATGAGAAAGGCTTCGCCTTGGGACCTGCTCCGGCATGGACACTGAGCGAAGACAAGAATGACAGGCAATGGGGTCTGTGGATCTGGGGGCTTTTCGACGAACCTCTATTCCCGTATCTCTATTTTTCTCTGCCGGTGCTCGATGACTGCTTGACAGAAGTGGATGAGGAGGGAGAGAGGAGGAAAGAGCTCCGACCTGTCTTTGGCGGGACCGGTATTCCCGGCAATCGTTTGAACTTTCGTTTTAACCACGTGCGACAAGACGGAGCGGTGTCGCTTTCTGAAGGCCAGCTTACATTCAAGGAGGTGGAGATGCGAAAAGTAGACCCGCTGGGGATCGGCGGCGTGGTGAATGTAGGGGATGTGAAGGACGCGGGGGAGGCTCAACTCCGGCCGGTCTTAATTTAGGCTGTAGAAGCGTGCACGGCAACGACGGAAGAGCAGAGGCTAGAAACAATTCTGGAAGAAGAAGCTGGTATCTCAAGTCTCACTTGTTCGCACCGTATTTCTTCACGTAAATTACTCGCCGGGGTCTGGTAGCATCTTTCGGTATTGATACCTTGCCAGCTGGCTGGGCAGGCCCTCCATGCCCCCGGTGTGTATGTACAGGAGCTTGTCGTGCTTGGCCCTTAGGACCGACCAGTGCTGCCTGATCACGCACCAGGCGCGAGGTCCGTAGAGCAGGTCCAGCTCCAGCCCATGCTTTTCTCCCATCTCATGCCACATGTCGATCAGCGCCTGCTCAAGTTGGCCGAACACGTGAGGTGCGGAGCCCTCCAAGACCTCGGGAAAGGCCCCCTGTGGCGCCTTCTCCCTCCACCCTTCCGATCCGTGCTCCGCGCCTGGCCTCCCTCCTTTCCTCCCCCCTGGCACCCCCGCCCCTCGAGCCGAGCGGGTGTTTCGGAAAGCGCCTCGCTGCGGGTGAGACGAGCCATTTGCGCCCGTAGGTAGGTGCCGTCCCCGACGCAGGGCACCGCATACACGACCGGAGCTCTCCCCAGAGATGAGCTGGCCAGGGTCCTCGCCAGGTAGAAAGCCGTCGTGCCCGTCCCAGCCGGGAGGACCACAGCCAGCGGCTTTACCTCGGCCCTCTCGCCGGACCCGCTCTCCTTCGCCCACCAGTCCTCCACTTCCCGGCCCAGGCGATCGATCCCTTCCTCGGCTCCTGGGAAGGCAGCCCCTTGCGGCACGAGGAGCAGATCGTCGGCTTCACGCGCAAGCAGGTCCCCTTCTCTCTCTACAAGCCTCTTCTTCAGACGTATACACCTGGCCTCGCCGTCCCCTCCTTCGGTCTCATCTGTTGCCCCAAAAATGTCCTGGAACTCTGAGGCACGGAGCTCGCGAAAATCCACACCCAGCTCCAGAGCACGCCTGTAGTTCCCCACTGGATGGTCTTTCAGCCACGCAGGGATCGTCTTTGTGTAGTAGATGAGTCGCTTCTGCTGTACGCCGCACACGAAGCCCGCGAGCGCGGCCAGGGCATTGCTTTGGACCCCCCCCCAGCTGAAACAGACAGCGGGGAAAGGGCGAGAAGAAGACAAAGGGTATGAAGATGCCAGGCCCCAGAGCTTCCGAGCCTTATTGCCGTGAATTCCGGCACCCAGGAGGTCCAACTTGTCGTCTCTTTTCACGTAAACTTTCAAGTGGTCGTCGAAAATACCATGAATCTCTTCAACAGGAGAGGAATGGAGATAAGAAGGTAGGGTCGCCCTTTCTATCAGTGCAGCGCTTGCCAGAGGAAGAGGAGGAATGTGAAGGTTGCTGAGACTCACTCGTTGGAAGCGGTGTGAAGCGCCAGGTCGGGCGTGGAATGCAGTTACGAGGCTTACACACATGTTCATCCCGACTGAAGTGAAAGAAGTACGCATTTTTTTTCTGAAGGCGACTTGAATGGTTTTCCAAATAGGTTCCTAAGCGCACGATAAGTCGTCACGGGAGGAAGAACAGAATATGTAGCTTTCGATGGGAGGCTGTACACATTTTCTATAGAAGGATCACCGCGAGTAAGACCACATGCCTGGCAAAGTGTGTGCCAGTTTTTAAGGCTTGTCTCTGTACTTTCAATTTGTGCCCTGGGGGCGTGGATGGCCTTCCATCATTCTTTGATTGAGCATCCCTGCCAATGCGGGCAGCTTCCCTCTGTTTTTGTTTTGGAGCTGACGTTAGACGAGCGTGTCAGTTTGCTTCAAGAAGATGACCTACGGCATTGTGGAGCCCAAAGCTTTGTATAACTTTTCGTTTCTCTGTAAATTTCCC